CACAAAATGAAGTCAACTCAAATAAGAATTATGCAGGAGAAAAGTAATAATAATAATAATGATAATAATAATAACAATAATAATAATAATAATAATAATAATAATGCAATCTGGCACACAGAAACAATAAATGCTTGTCCGTGGGACCAAGCAGACATTGAAACAATAAAAATAACAATAGAAAACTTTGTGTTAATCAGTCCGAAACACCCTGCTGCTCCATGGGAGAAGAAAAAATTCATACAAAGTAATTAAATAGCAAATGTCAGAAAACTGAAAAGACACAAAAACAAATACAGCAGTATACATAGAGTTAACAGGTAGCAAACATCTTACCGCCGTAAAAGAACAAAAACACTATACTATGTAATGTAATGAAATGGCAAACGGTAGGTGGGAATTGGCGGGACGTGTGATCAAGTGACGAAGGATAGACTTATGAGTGGTTCCAAGGAGCAAGTAGCTTCCACCGCACCGTCAGCGTAGGGGTGAGCGTAATTAATTTTGTACGACAGTTGCCACCGCTCTTTTCCTTCTTGTTTTGTATAGTTAAGGTGTCACCATCCCGTGTTTTATGCGTGTAGTCGTTGTGATGTCAGCCACCTGGATGAGTGCCCGAAATCCAGACAGATTAATGCGTTCACGAGGTTGGTGTGTTTGTGGTTCGTTTAACGTGTACGGCCGCCCAGAGCTTGTTGCGACAACCAGATCGTTAAAGGCGTGGGTGCGAGCGCGTGGGAGCGCAGGATTAATGAAAGCTTCTTTAGGGACAGTCGGGTTATATTTAGTTTCACGTGCTGAGACTCGAACATGTGTCACGTGAAAAACAAAAGAAAAGGAAACTTGACCGAAATCGAGCGAAAATAGAAGCAATTAAATATAAAAAAAAACTATGCAAATTACGCGTAGCTTATGATTGTACGGATATCGCAAAATGCCTATAGTTAAATCGTAAATGTGATTTCCAAAAAAAACAAACTGTTTTTGTTTTTGGTTTGAATATCGGCTTGTTTTTGTACACGTGTTTCAAGCCTCAAGTTCTTAACTGGAAAAGAAAAGAAAAAAACCAAAACAAAAACGCCTCAAGTTGTCCAAGAAGATGTAAAGCGGAGTGCATACGATCAAACATGAGTCACGAGGAGGACGTATTGCAATGTTTGGTTGTTGTATAGGCATTCACAACTTACACTTAAAAAAAAAAAAAAGAAAGGCCTGTTTTGTTTACTTTCTTGCAGAACAGAAAAATAACCAATCACAAAGAAAAAAAAAGAAAAAAAAACGTAGGAAATTTTAAGCGAATGACAAAACCCAAAATACGACTAGACAAAAAAAAAATTAAAACAATGTTAAGGTGGCTGCGGTGCAGGGCTCACGAAGCTAGTCCGATAAGCAAACATTTCTTTATCTCAGTTTCGCTTCACATCTATTTAACCCATTAAAAAAAAACTATTTAGTTGTTTTGCGTGATTGGTTTAGCATACTGAAGAGTTTTAGGGAACCGTTCTAGCGCAAACGTATACGATACGATCGGCTCTCTAGTATATACTGCGCGTGCGCGAAGTCACTGCTGCCTTACCGTAGTTCAGTGTCCGAACCCTAAGCCGTGATCGTGGGGTCAAAGCGGCTGACATCAGAAGCGTCTCGACTCGTTTATGGAACGGATGTATCGCCGCGTGAAAAGGCTTGCCCAAGCTTCAAACGTGAATAAAAGCATTCGGTTTTTTTTTTCTAAGAACTTTTTCTAAGCTTTTCTCGCCGAATAAAGTCGATTCGAAATCGGCGTCAAAATGCTTTAGCGCCAAGATTGCCGCGAAGATCGTCTGCTCCTTTAGCGGACGAACTGTTCAGTTACGGTGGGGACGCCGCCGCCATGTTTAACATTCACATTCCACCAGAACGAGACAAAACATGGTTAGTTTCACAAATTGGGCTTCAGGCTATTTCGGAAAAGCGAAATGTTTTTCCTTCAGGTCTGTGAAATTAAAGATCACCTCTCGTCCAAAACACATGACCGCCCTTCCCCCCCCCCCCCCCTTTCCCTTACCCAGTTCACGAAGCCATTGGGCATTTCCGGTGCCAGGGGGCGCGACCTGCACCAAGCGTCTGCAAACACTATTCTCTAAAATGCGTTTTAGGAAAAACATTCGGTCCGATCTCCCGATTTGAGGTACCGGCCGTTTGGTCGATCGACCGCGTTTGATTGCGGTGCCCCAAAACTCCCTAATGGTAGCAAACGCACAAAGACGACGAGCGATATGACGAGGCACTTTTGGCGCTGTTCGGTCTGCTTCATCGGATTAGCTTCAACTGGGGTGGGCCCAGTTGAAGTATAAAATGAATGGTTTGTATCACTATTGCTCTCGCATCACTATTTAACTATTACAGCGAAGCTGTTTATGGCTAGGGTTCCGTGGACATTTCCTGTGCGCCAACAAAAACTCGCGCGCCCTCTCTTTGTCGTTGTTCCAAGCGCTTGCGTGCCTAGTTTCTTTCCGCTCTCTCCGAGGGGTGGCGGTCCCATCGCGCGTGTCTAGATTCCTCCGGCTCCACGGGGCGGCGATAGTTCGTATTTTTGTTCAAAATTCTGTGTCACGTTTGTGTCGTCTGCTAAACAACTTCGCTGGTAATCCACCTTCACGGAGGGGAATGGCTCAGGATTTTTTATTCCAAGTTACCCCGCAGTGCCAGAGGCATTTATTGCAGGGGAAAGGGTGGATACAGAACGTAAAATATAGCCGCTTATATTCCGCTATTATGCAGCGAACCATGTCAAAAAGGACAGAAGAAAGATATGCACTGCCGTATCCAAAAGAAAAAAAGAAAAAAAAAATTCAGGCGAGCGCGTGGTTTAGAACAATGTCTGCCCCGCTAGCTTTCATAGGATAGCTAAATTGTCATCGAGGCTCCACGGGCTGTTAAATTTTTGTCATCACTCCCCGCTTGACCGGCTGCTGCTGAGTTAAGGCTGGTTCACACATTTGCAACGGTTGCCTTCGCTAGGGCACCCTAGCCTTCGCATGCAACCGAAACGACTGTAACGACAAAGTCACTGGGACAAGTGTTCGCCGTACAGAGCATGGCAAGCGATGCGAAAGGTAGTTTCGCGAAGTCATTTATGAGTCACGGTTTTTACGGTGTTTTGGTCGTTCCGGTCGTTTCGGTTGCATGCGAACGCAACCGTTGCAAATGTGTGAACCAGCCTTTAATGCTGATTTCAACTTTGAAAAAGGCAGCGGCGTTCCGCTACAGAAGGGAATCACGTGTGGCTGTGGAACCACCGGGTAGTCAGGTTGAACGATCCGTTTTCGTGCGTTTGGTAACAAATTCGCTGGATAAATGACGATAAAGTGTTTTTATTATATTTGACCGAGCACTACCATCAGCGTCGATTCAGCAATTGTTTGCCGACCAAGTGGGAAGTAAAACGACAAAAATCGAACCGCCACTGAAATGCCGGTAGTGCACACAATAGCCTCGCTGAAAACTCAGCTTTGTTCCGATAGATGGCACTGGAGGTCTTCGGAGCCACGCGCTCGCCTGGGCCTTTTCACTTCGTCCGCGACCGTGCACTCTTCCGATATTTAAAATTATGAAACATTTTTTTTCCTTGCGCGTTTACAGTTTTCTTTATGTTTATCTTCATGCTGAACTTGGAAGAATATCACGGGAACACTGAAAAAGTTACAATAATATAGGTAATATCTGTCCGAACTGCTTGAGTCGCACGTGGGAGGGCGAAAGGTAAAGACATTTTACCTGACGAAATTAAACACAACCACTCAGCAAAGAAAAAGAAATTATACTAATAAAATAAACGTATGAACAATCTTTTCTGCAAAGTAGGAATTAACCACAAAACAATAGTTTTGCAAACAAGTGAAAACATAAACAAATAACTATCGTTGAAGCGCATAACTCACAACTTTATTTTGCTGAAAGTGAGAACCCACACAAACATATATCTACTGGGTGTATCAAGGAGTGGCCAGGGTCTTTAAATCGACCGCAAAATTCGGTTTATTAACGTATTGTGCTACGACTTCGTGCAGCGTTGCCTCACAGGTGCATTTTTTTTTTATAAAATTTGCAAAGAGCGAACTTACCTGAGGAAAAAGTAAAGAAAGACAAAGGCTTAGCTCCTATGGAAATGCGGCGAAGCTAAAGGTCTTCAAATAGTACGGCGCCGTTTCGCATGGGAGACAAGAGATGGCGCAAGCGGTCGCGATGCCAACTGCGCTAACGAATGAGCATACGGCGCCGAGAGCCGGCGCCTTTGGCAGACGATTTTTTCGACTCAAAAGTGGGGCGCGTTCCGCAGGCAGCGACAGTCGCAGAAACAAAACAGGCGCGGTAGCAACAAATAAGTAAAAGCAGACGACATCGGTAGCCCGAAAAAAACAGTCAAAATATCCCGACAAACCATTTTTCTAATCGATTATGTGTCCATTCAGTATGTTTTATCAGTAAGAATGATAAAATAATGCATTGGCGACTGATATCAGAAAATCTCGCGCCGCTTTTGAGTCGAAAATATCGTCTGCTAAAGACGTCGGCTCTCGGCGCCGTATGCTCGTTCGTTGGCGCAGTTGGCATCGCGGCCGCTTGCGCCATCTCTTGCCTCCCGTGCGAAACGGCGCCGTATTGTTTGAAGACCTTTCGCGTCGCCGCATTTCCATAGGAGCTAAGCCTTTTTCTTTCTTAACTTTTTCCTCAAGTAAGTTCGCTCTTTGCAAATTTTACAAAAACAATGCACCATCTCTGGGCAACGCTGTACAAAGTCGTAGAGCGATAGGCACTCCTTGATACACCCAGTATAGCATAAGGTGGGAAATGCTTACCATGCTTCCTTGCCGCTGCTTCAGATTTACGAGTGATTTCAGCAGATTTTATTATTCGAGGCTTTAGCGCACGCCACTTATTTTAAGAAAAGAAACACGTACACACAGACAAAACAGTAAGATTCTTTTTTGCAGAAAAAAAATCGAAGACACAAAAAAAAACAGGTTTTGCATTTGCTTAGTTTATTGTCAGCTCTTAGACACCACACATACCACACACGTACAGACTGATTATTAAATATACGCTTTCGTCGTTACATCTTTCACATCAGAGGAACACAGTTATAGATGAGCCGTCTGACGTTTGGGGCGTTCGCTTTTGAACAGCAGTTTGTGAGGTCGGTAGGCTGTAACAGGAGACTCAGCGCGGTGGCGCACAGAAGCTCGTCAACATAGCTCTGCTAAAGATGCCGAAAGTCTGCGTGACGACGCATGTACGCTCGCGAACAGTTTGTCAACATTCACATTCAGCCTGTTGGCCGTTATAGTTCAAAGACAGGGCAAACAGGCAGTCAAGCAAACAAACAACACTCATAGCGGTGTGCACTATATATATATATATATGTGTGTGTGTGTATATATAGCGCGCCAAGCAACACGTGATCGTGTTCACGACGTTCAATATAGAAATACAATTTTTCGACATCACACTGTTCGGCGAAAGCCGGCTCTCTTCTCTCGCAAGGCAACTCAGTTCAAGAACACGGCAAACTGGGGTAGGCTTCCGAAGAAACAATGTTTACATATATACATATCAACGTTAACTGCTTGTTTAAAATTCGACTTTCGGTCGCCCTTCGCTGCTGCGTTCCTTCTGTGTCGTGCATTTGTGTTTGGTGCAACGATGTCGTCCTTGTTAGACAACATACAAGAAGAAGGACCCAAGTAGACATTTGTTTGTCGACACTGCTGGACTTTGTCAAATGTCTTAGCTCGTAACGGACATATTTATAAGCTGACGCATGAATTGGCATCCGTTGTTCAACGAGAAAATTACAGTTTCATGGCCGCCAGCCATGATAACATATACAACATCAAAGATCCGTAACAGGGGCTACAGAAGACACATGACCCTGCACCCATTGACTGTGCGCCTAACAATGTCGCCTTGACCTTCTTGTTTTTGTGTTGGTGTGTCTATCTGGCCTTTTGAAACAGGCGCATGCAAACGCTTACATTGTTGTTTTTGGTCGTGTTACTTATGCTTATCGGGTGTTTTTTTTTATATGTGCATATGGGCGAATGGACAAGCGCATTTTGAAAAGTGTGAAATTAAAAAGACCTCCTGATGCAGGAGGATGAATTGTGAAATCAAAGCAAAAATATCAATAACACCTGACCCCTCCCCTATTCACGCATTCTAACTACAAATCAATATTACGCGTTACAATCTCACTAGTAAATGTAAATATAACAAAAAATGTGAAACATTGTAATGGTGCGTTGATTGCTTTTAAATTCGGTTGGTAAGTTCTTAGCCAAGAGAAAACGCTTGTTGTTATTTAGTTTTGCGGGCACTGCTTCCAGGAGACTGTAAGAATTGATTGATTGATTGATAGGTTGGTTGATTGATTGAAGCACGTCTTTATTCAATAAATACTGCTCTGCTCGTTTCCGTTGACATCTGAAGATAGAATAATAGAAAGAAAAACCATGTCCCCTCTTCCGCCATCGTCATTGACAAAAGGTCTCCAGAGACTTCTGGAAGTTACGTGTATTTCCATATGGTATACACGACTACACAAAAACAATGACTCCTTTACCGCGAGGGGTAACCGCAGCTGTCATAGCACCTTCACATGTTTTTTGTTTTGTTTTTGTTTTTCAATATATTTTGTGTGTGTCAAGATCACCCCTGAGGCTTCTTGCACCCTGTGAAGATCGCGATGATTCCAGAGTAACTACCCTCCTGGTCGCGCCTAGGTTGTCAGACCGAGGGCACAACCAGATCTACGCATAGGCCTTCTTACTACCTGTCTTCTAGCCGTGTTTCAGCATTCTATACCAGTCTTAGTTCGTGGCGACGTCATGCTTAAAGACGTAAAAACACTCATACACCCACAAAGTCTCACATACACATATACACACATCGCGCGCAGAGATAACAATTTGGTTTAGCTTGTTTCCGGAGTCCAAAAAGACACCAGGCACCGACGTCCGGGGAGCTCACAGTTTTCGCCGGGAACTACTACTACGGTGCCTGAAACGCGTTTCCGACTGGTGAGTTTAACTGCTTATATCCCGCCTATGTATCAAAAGCGGTCCCCAAAAAGTTCAACAAATGACGTCACCAAAAATTGGGGTCTCATGCTGTCGAACGTCGCGATCCTGGCCTCCTGACACCTTTTTGTTTCTCTTCCACGGTTAGATGCTTCCTAGGTTTCTCGTTCCGGTCTCGGGTAATTCAACAAAATAACGCTAGACGTCCTGGCAAAAAGTACGAGCAAACGGCGTCCCAACCTCTGGCTGCTAAAGCTTCCGTAAACTGTCAAGCTAAGGCAGCTACCAACACCAGAACAGGCGTCTGCCAGATCCACCAACGCTGCCGTGACACCGCCAGGATCGCGGCACGACAACATGACACTTGTATGACGCCATCTGGCGGAAATCGAGGGACCACTTTTTCGGACGTGGTAAACGCATCAGTCGGAGGATCGTTCCAGGCATCATGCTACTACATGTACGCCACGATGTCTTCAATCTCGCAAAGATTGATCCAGAGGATAGGACAACGAACCTTGTCCACGTGCCTCATTTTTTTTTTGTTTTTTCTGAGAAGCATTAGCATCAACAAAGGACACTTGGTTCCACAAGAGACTTTCTTCCCTCCGGCGGCCTCAAAAAGGGAAAAGGGCCTTGCAAAATTACGACAGAGCGCGGGCAGCACTGCAGTGCGCCAAAGGGGTTACGAAATAGTAGAGCGTGTGGAAGACGAAGGAACAAAATAAAATAGACAAGGGAACCAAGGGATTGATCGAAGCGAGTCAGGCTGCACCAAAGCACTTCAAGTCAAGCCCGAGAGAACTACAAAAGTTAGAGTTTTTTTTTTTTTTTATTGTTTCGTCAGGGGAGGGATTGGGAATGCAGTTGGCTGAAATCTAGTTGCAGACGTTGATGCCCTTCCAAGGTGTTGCTCTCCTTCAAAGGGAATTAGTCTGTAGGGTAAGATACGTCATTGCGAAGTCAGGCCTACGGCAGCGAAGGCAGTAGCGAATCGAATTAGCGGGAATTTAAAACGAGCGTCAGCGCGTAGTACCTTACCCTAAAGATTTTCTCTCGGTGGCCGGCGTGATTACATCTACGACCGTGACGTGGGTCAGTATTGGCACGAAGTGCTGTTTGTTGCTCACAAGTTGGCGAGTAATCGTTCGGGAACCTTCTGATCTGCTAGATAACAGAAAGTATAAAACAGAGAGAGGACGAAACACAGACGAGTACATTTTCGTCCTCTCTTCGTCCTCTCTCTGTTTTATACTTTCTGTTATCTAGCACATCGTACCAACACGCTCGTTAGGAATATAACTTCTGATCTGCCTCTCCTCAATACCCAAATTGGTCGAAGGTGGATTTTGACTGAGAAATCTACGCGGCGTTACTTTGGCATTGGCAAACGGTGTAGACTGACCCCAATTAATCCTCTATACTGTCGCATAAATGACCACGCGATAGATTGCTTGGCGCATAGCTAATGTTTGTATTACACGTTTAAAAAAAAAGCGAAGAAATGTAACTGGCTCCGAGATACGTGCTACTGCTTCGTGATGGTAGGTGTACAACCACGACTCCAATATTTGATTAAAATGGGTTTAACGGTATTTCAACAGTACAACGAATATGTATTTTGTAATGCCGGGAACTCAAATCCTTCAAATTCCTCAATTTAATCGCGTCGGTATCTTGCAGTGGTTTCTTCAGGAGGAACCTCTATTTTAGTCCACGCTAGCTAACGCAGCAGGTAAACAAGAAAGAAAAATATTATAACCTTCTTTTTCACAGAGGTAATGATATCGTACGTAACAAACTTCGTCAGTCAAATTAGTCGGTCGTAATCTGTCAGTGATCAGGGGAAAATCAGCGAGATGGCGCACAGTCACTGGGGGCATCATCTAATTCTAAACCCCTTGACAAGGAGGCATAAAATAATAGAGAATACAACACACTTCTTGGGTCAGGGTTTAGATGAGGATGTTTACCAACCAGCTCGACTGCATACTGCCTCTTCTTGAACTGGTGACGGTTGCAAGACTAACGTCACGGGAGGAACCGTTGAAAGCAAAGGAACGACTTTTTACTGCCGTTGGTCACGCCTCGGCAAGAAAAAAAAAAAAAGAAACGAAAGAAAAAAAACTTTCAGCCTTTCCACTTTGGTGAAGAAGGAAGAGCAGCGGGGCTGTACTATGTGCCGCGTCTATGGGCGACGGCGGCAACCAGACAACCAGCGAGGTTGCCGCCGTCGCTCATAGATGGCGGTAGCTGTCCAGAGTTTTGTGTCATCAGGTCATTTGAGGACGGACACGATCCTGGGGAAACTAGCCCTTAACAGCTCCGCAGTAAAAAAAAAAATATGTTTTTTCCATATGTTACCGCGCAACGAGGAATCGGGTAATATTAAGCCGGGGTCACGCTGCTCACACCTCATACAAAAAGACAGTCCGCAAACACCAGTCGCAGCAGTATCCGTGGTTCGAATGCCGCGTGCCAAGTTTCTCAGTGAACTCATTATCATGCGGCATTCAAAGCACGGATTTCGCGATGACTCGCTTTTGAATCTGTATGGAGACTGTCTTTTTTATGATGTGTAAGCAGTGTGAACCCGGCTTTAGAGAGTGGTGTGGAGAAGTGTATTACGAAGAAACGCTACGACTCTGCTTTTGCAGCGGAACTGGTTAGCGATCACTCGGGCAAAGTTCAGGCACAGCCTGTCTGTAAAATAAAATGACTATATAGTATCCGGAGGATTCGAGCCTGGCACCAAATGTGCGAAGATATTTTAAGAAACACCCTGTGCTTCTTAAAATGTCAGTGACTATAAGATTGCTCTTGAATTGCAGCGGATTTGCGTACTTGGCTATCTTGGTGACCAACTGAAGTCTTTTCTAAATCTTCTCTAAGGCTTCTCTTCTCCAAGTTTTCTGAAATCTTCTCTAACTGCTGAAGTATAGAAGGATTAGTTATATGTTGTTTCACGTCACCAAGCTGAGGATCCGGTTTTCGTTGCGTGGGTTAGCGATAATCAGCCGAGAAATAGCGCCATTTATTGATTCTCACATATATTTAAGACATTCACTGATCCTCACAGGTATAGTAATATCATATTTTTTTTCGGGCAGTTAGAAAGCTCCCAGAACGAATTTTAAGGAATTCGCTAATGATCTCGCGATATTGAACCTGCGCATGTCCATCGGAGTGCGCCAGTTCGCCGATTCAAGAAAAAATAAAAGAAAGAAGAGGTATGTTTTTTGTTTAAGGTGCCCTTACAAGGGAGTATAACACCCTCGCTGATCCTCGCACATATTTAATGTAATCACGCTCAATTTCACAGGTTAGCTTAATTTTCGGCCCAACACGTATTATAAGTAATTTCATTCAGTCAAAAAAGGTACAGTAGCATAAAATTTAAACACCTGTTGAAGTTTTTGCTAACTAATGACTCATAAGACGCTAAGGGAGAACGCTTTCGTTTTTTTTAGTACATATCAAACTAAAAAGTGGGAAGGACGTGATATTAATGGATGCTAATGGATTCGTGACCTTATGATCTCCGCTTTAAATTCCCGAATGCTTTATCGTGGTCGCATTAATTAGCAGTAAATCACGTCAGTGTACGCTGGAGAGCTAGTCGAGTGGACATTTCCTCGCGCTCCAAATGAGAAACTTTTGAATTTTCTTGCTGAGCCCCGCTCTTCTGAAAACAAGAATAATATTAAGAAAAAAGACGCTTGCCGTATATGCGGAATAATTATTATGGGTAGTACGTTTTTTTGGAAGATTATCTTAAAGACTGCTAAATCTTACAGTAACTATGCAACTTTCCTCTTCCGTCGGTGCGAAGGCTTTTTTTTTTTGTTTTCTTTTGAGCCAGGGAAAAAGGGGGGGGGGGGGGGCAGGCAGTTGAAGAGAACGTAGATGGCTGGGTGTGCGACAGATGCCGATGCTCACGAATTGAATTCACGTCTTCCTAAAAGCAACACGGCCGGCTGCTCGGGCGGCCCCTTCGAAGCAAACCAGGAAGCGCAGGCGAGAAGCGGTATATCGGTCCAACAAAAACAACCTAAAAAACAAAAACAAAATGAAAACTTCATCTAAAACTTGTCAACAAGTTTTTTATGACACGCAGGCGGTGTTTATGGTCACGCCCGATGCTGAAGCTATATTGGCTGTGTAGAAATAATGAGATGTCACCACGCCCTTGGCTGTCGGTGACTGTGCAGTTTGAAAATGGTGAAGGGTGCATCCTTTGAAATTTGTATAGTTCGAAAAGCGGGTAGGCACCTCCCTTCTGTTTTCCAAGTGAGGTGAGGTGGAGGTGGAGGTGAGGTGAGGTTAGGTCAGGTCAGGTTAGGCTAGGAATGGTTAAGTTAGGGACCAAGAAGCTTTCGTCGCACGCGTTATGTTTTTTCACAGACCCTCTCCGTCAGACTACACACAAGTTTGGGATTACGCGCTAGAGAAGTTTTACCTTAGGCATGATTTTCTATCATATTTGCGAATAGAGGGGGTCGAGCTATTTTGGTGAGAACCGAAATTGAAATGATGCACTTAACTTCTTTTCATTGTGTTAAAAGTGACTTTGCTACTGTCAGTTACCTTGATATATTATTAGTAGTGATCATTTGGATGATTTTGTGGCTTTGCAGTAATCGAGAAGATATATCCCAGCAGCGCCACCATAACAAAATGTTTCAATAAACGCCCCCTTTCGTTTTCCTTTGACGTTTAGCTTGTTTGATAAAACATTGTTAACACAGATCAATTTTTGTGAGTTTCTTGTTTCACGATAATAATGCCATTCAATTTATCAACAAAACGAAAAAGGTCTTGAAAATATGCCGGGCGATCATAGTTCTCCAACTCGCCCGCAAAAAGGACATGACTCCATTTTTCGAGCCCCTTAATAACTGGCCACAACTGAACACTTGCAGACTATGTATATATCGCAAAGGTGGTAAGCACGGCATGGTATTACAACTACAGACTCATAAGGTGAGATACTAAGCAACCATTGAGGAGCAGCGAAGAAGACACTAATACCGTTCTTGAGTTGATGACAACCGGTGACAAAACTGGAAAACAGTAGGAAAAAAAATATTTTGGAAAAAACGATTCATGAAATGAGCTGTAGTGAAAAAGAGAAGAACAAGAACAACAACAACCGAACAGTAATCAACGTACGACAGTTGGCACACATGCAACGCCCCGTTTCGCCGCACGGTACACAAACCACCCATAAGCCAATCCACTGCCGTGTGATTATCACGTGACCTTCCGAAGGTCACAGTGACGTGTCGGACGCGCAGTCAAGTGATAGATTCACAGCGGTAGAGTGGCTGGGACGGCTCGTAGCGTCCGCTGCGGTCTGTTTTAAGGCGAAGCAAAGTACAGAAAAACACAAGAGTCCTCCAAAGTTTTGACACAACTATTTACAAGGGCGAATAACAAAAAATACAACATATTCGCACGATCATTGTGACCCTTGAGGGGGAAAATATGAGAAAAACAGCTTGAAAGCTGCCTATCATTGTTTTTTTTTTGTTGTTTTTCTTTTTCTGTTGCCAATGCTACTTAGTGGCTTGACTAGTCGACAACAGAATGTAATTTTGTTGCACATTTTTTTTTTCAGCCATCAGACGAGAGCGCTTTGGGGGTTCAGCGTGAATTCACGAGAAACCAGTCCGTTCCTGGGAGTCGTGGAGCACACACGAATAAAAAAAAATAAAAAAAAAACAGAAAGAAAAAGTCCGGTTGCGTGGCGGGCGTCGCAAGATGGCGTCACTTCCTTGGCGTCACGCGTGGGTGGCGGCGCCACCCGCAGTCACTTCATCGTCGTCTCACAGTTGCCCGATCTCGATCTTGCCTCGTTGCTCGCGGCGGCGTAAGGAAAAAGAAAAAAAAAAAGAAGGGGATCGTGGCGGCCATCTTGGTTCCTCCGGTTTTCGGTGTCGGTTAGTGCAGGGTCCCCATCCTGCTCACTTCTTTCCCCACTTCTGGAAGAGGCCCATCCTCTGGCATCTACAGTTGGTGCCCCACAGGTTGCATCGGCACGAAGAGTTGTAGCAGCAATCGTTGGGTCGGTGGTCGCAACTGCCTCCGCGACGAATGCAGCTCCTCCTGAAAAAAGCAACGACAAAAGAAGGCATCAGCGCCAAGGTTTTGATTCAGAGGGGGGTGGGGAGGGGGGGGGGGGGGGGGGGGGCACCCATGACAAAATTTTGTATGAGGGGGAGGAAGGAGAGGAGGCCCCAGCTAAATGGAAGATTTCAGAGAAGGGGCGCCTGCAGCCCCCCCCCCCCCCCCCCCCCCCTTTCCCTCGGATACGTGCCTGGAAGGCATCCAGTGTAAGATAACCTTTTCGAATGTGCGCGCCATCTAGACGGCGCATACGGCCTGCCCACGGCAGCTTTAATGCAGCAGTGTGACGTCAGACCCGCGCGTTGGTCCATAAGATACATTATATATAAAATCCGAGACAAAAAAAAAATAGAAAAAAAAAACTTTTTTATGAACTACGCATCGGAGGAAGCGGGGAATCCGTGTGAACGTTACGCAGGTGATGGTGATATAATGCGGAGGATTGAAAGCCTGACGTTACCTAAAATCAAAACATGAAACAGAAAAAAAAAATATCTTCACTTAAGTCTTCATATCCGTCAAACCATGACATGATATGGTAAGGACTCAGCGGGATTTATTTCTGGAAGAAAGCTTGTTAGAAAAAATACAATCTTGTTTTTTTTTTCTTGTTTCTTTTGTTACCGACAGGTTTTGCGTAGGAAGTACGGGTTTGCGTCCGGTACTTCCCACGCATCGGAGTGATCCTCGAAGTGCCAATAAAATACGTCGCAGGAGCCGCCGTCTAACACAACGCTTTATTGCGGTCCGGATGGCGGGTTGTAAAAGAGCCGCGGGGCTATCGTCGCCGGCCACAGAGTTCCAACTCGCGGCCATTGCCCGAGTGTTTCCGTCGAACGGCTAACGGCGCAGTGGTAGGAATACCCACGACGCTGCGACACACCGGTGTGTCACAGCGTCGTGGGTTTTCCCCTTTAATAGACCGGCAACCAACGTCATATCTCGGTTTGGCGTCTTCACTACCGGCCGCGTATTTGGTGTGCGTGCTGTTCGGTCGTGGCGTACTGGTCTTTTTAATGCAAAAGCATTAACTGTTCCTTGGAGCAAACCGACGTCATCAGATTTGAAGCCGCGCCAAACGGCACCTTCCCCTGTCCCAATGTCGTGTGAAGCAGAAATCTGATGGGAGGCTCCCATTGGCTGGCGCATCATCAAGGAACGAGGCTCCGGTTTGCTCTTGTGCGGCATAGTTCCAAGGGACGCCACCAGAGAAGCCCTCTCCAGGGCGGCTCGGCGCACGCAGAGCGCATCGGCCCGGCGAGGTGCGGCGGTGCGGGCCTGGTCGCCTGGTCGCACAACCCGCGCGGGCGAACTCCGGAGTGGGTGCACGGCCGAGCTCAGCGCGGCGCGGCCACTTCACGAGAGCGCGCGCTTGGCCGTCGGCCGGCAAAACGTGGCCGTCCACGCCACATCGCCGCCGACGAACTAAGGGAGCGTAAAGGCACGACCACATTGGCGTCGTGGAGGCCTGCGGCGCGACGGTCGGCGCGGCCGGCTGCCGACCAATACCAGTTTTCGGCTTCAGCGGCGCGACGTACAGCGCAGCAGAGCCAACCGCTCCTTACGCGGCTCAGAGCTCGCCGCACCTCGCCGCAGAAGAGAGGAGCCAATGGGAGGTGGCGTAGATAGTGACGTTACGATGCCATGGCAACTCTCAAGCCGGTTCTCCGCACGTCTTTCACGTTCCGAAGGACGTAACGTTGTTTCGTTCGTCTGCTATACCTATTTTCCCCGATGCCTTCACCAACGGAGCGGTTCCTTGAAACTGTGCGACTGTTTTCCTTTTTATATGACGAGACGCAGCCAGACTACCTAGATAGTGACGTCAAGAACAACCGCTGGGAAAATAGGAGAGGGATTCGGAATTACAAATGAGTTTTTCCGTGGCACTTGTTGCATGTCGTCTGTGTTTTTACGGATGTCGTGTTGATTTGGTGACACTTTCGAAAGTAGCCTTCATCTCTGGCACGCCGCCGGGGCAGCAAAGCATTGCCCTGTCCTTCGGTGTTTCGGTAGAACCAACTCGGCCGGACCCAAAATCTGTGCCTTCTTCGCTTCGGAGCGCGGCGACGTCGCGAGATCAACGAGCAGGCTAGGATAATCACATTCACGCTGATCACCAGGTCTTTATGGACATCTCCCATGTAGGCAGCGAGTGCGGTTTCGATGCTGATATATGTGAAAGATGAGAGCCGAAACGGAAGTATCTAAAGAAAGAGCAGACGACGAAAGAGCGGGAAATCCGACGGGAGTTGCGCGCGCGATGGCGAGAGCCAGTGCTGTCACGTGACGCCCGCAAAATGGACGCCAATGTGGATTCCGTTGGAACGCCGGACGGCGGTGCCGCCTGGCGGTGCCGACCGGCGGCGCCGTTGACGCTAGTGTGGTCAGGCCTTAAAGGGCAACTCCGCTTCTTTTTCAGTAGTGCAAAACTATACAGTTCTCTTTGTTATCATCTACAAAACCCCCATGGCAAATATTACGACGGAATTCCGCCTAGAAGTTCATTAAAATCGCTGTCAAAGTTTGACAAGCACGAATCCGCTGGTTTTGGTTGAGACGTGCGGGCCAGACAACACTGCCCGGCTGCATTTCCGCTTCCTCCAAATTCCTTCTCCCGGCACGTCAGCGACGTCATCAAACATGTACAGTATCTTTTTTTTTTTTCAATTTTGTTTTCTTTCCCGGGGAGAGCACGGGTGGCTCCAGCGCCGTGAAAGACGTGAGTGACGCGCTCGGCCGGCCCGGCGCTCGACTATTGATACTACTGATAAGCCGATCGCCTCGTTGAGCGCGGCTTGTGTTACATCGCATACTTTTGAACACCAAGTAAAAGGAGGAGAGGGAAGCTGCTTTTGTAAGAATTTTGAGTGACAGGTTAATCTTCTATAATCTTCTGGGATGAGAATAGCGACGCCTGTGCTAATCCAGGAGGCACAAAGGAGGATCCTGATAAGAGGGGAGCTTCTTCTTCCCCTTGTATATCACGTGGGTGTACATGCTTAGTGATGCCGAATATACAATGTTGTCCGGCTTTGCCACCGTTTCGGTTTCGGTTTGTGATCATGGCTAGAGTAAAATTACACGAAAAATATTTTATTTTTCGCGAAACAAAGGATTGGGGATTGTTTTTGAGTGCTTCAAAAAGCAAAATCGGCCACTATCTCAAAATTTTTGAAATTAAGCAACAAAATTAATTAAGCAACGAAACTTGAAATATTCCCGTCGTGTTCAAAAATAGGTTGAATATGATCCACAGTATTCGTAAATGACAATCGCACGTTTGTATTTTGAGCCTGGTGGCTGTATTTTTAGTTATAAACGGCGCACCTTGGCAAGCGCTCGGAGAAGGCCCAGCGGAGACCACGTGACATCCAACGCAATCGTGACGTAGGTCGTCTCAAGACGAGCAAAGCTACGGCGAGGCTGACGTCGAGAGGATGGCCTAATCGTTCCAGCCACCGAAGCGGCTGCTTTTGTACAAATTTTGAGTGACGGGTTAATCTTCTATAATCTTGTAGGGGGACAATAGCGACTTCTGTGACACACAAAAGGCATTCTCGGGAAGAGGGGAGTTCCTCTTGCCCCTCTTCTCTCGTCGTGGCCGGAGGCGAGACAACCTCCGTCACTAGCTGCCAAGGTTGCTAGACGGGCATTACAAGCGAGGCGTTAGCGACATCCACCAGGTGCTCTTTGCTAATCGTTTAATTCGTTTTAAAATTCCGTTTCGTGACTTTTTTAACGAGATATTGGTATGTTCAATTTGATGGTGCTTTTTTGAACATATATAGACCAAAAAATGAACGCCGAAATTTCGTTGTAGTATCCCTTTAAGACCGACATTCATGCTTTCGCATTTACAATTCCTAAGAAGTGCTTAGGTGCCTTCGGACTTTTTTAAGCGTAAAAGAAACTTTAAAATAACCTTTTCTAATGCGACAGCATCAACTGGTCCCGTGGAGCGAAGCCGGCGTTGTCTCTAACCGTCTGTAGCAGCGAAACGGCAGTTAAATTCCCTTTGGCCAAAAGCACAGCAACGCAGATGCTTCGTCACGGAAGTCGGCGGGGAGCTCAAGGTCAAAGGAGACGCGCCTCAGAAGTAAAACACAAAGTAAAACATAGCAGCGCAGGTGCATCGTCACAGAAGGCGTGGAGTCGGCGGGGTTTGCCGCGCCTGTGGTGGAGGAGCGTGATGTCACCACTGAAGCTCCCTGTGCGATAGGAAGACGTAGCGCGCTGTTTGTAGGAATGCGCTGCGTGTAGGAAAGCTTTCGCATTCCTACACGTAAACAGCGTTAAGTGTCTTCTTTAATTTTGGAATTACCTATACGCAGCATGCATTTAATGTCTCGTTTGATTCTGCCAGCATTGAACTGGTCACGACGTCTATAACTAGCAGATGAAACCTGTAACCAACTAGATAAGGGAGTTTTCGGAATTTCATCAAGCAGCTTCGAAGCTGCCGTAGACGTTAATCATTCTAAGGGTGTCGAAGAGTTTGATTAGCAGTAATCACGCTTTACATCAGTGCTTTATCAGGCAGGGTGCCCACGTGATCCGGATAGAGAGATGTTGAGGGGAGGCGGCCAGAAAGAGCAGAGAGAAGTCGGCGGCCGTTGCTGCTCGAGCAGCCGAGTCACCAGGAGAGGCTTCGGCGCTGCCATCGCTCTGTCTAATGTAAACGAGCGGAGTGGCCTGTATTCCCTCCATTCCCCCTCTACTGAGACGGGGATCCCTTCATTGGGGTTCTTCCTTCGGAGGAGGGGAAAAGCAAATATCACTAAAACGGTGGTTGTTCGGCTTATTTGTTGACTTCAACCATCTTCGACCCGCCGGTGTCGCCGTTTTGTGCACCTTTGCGGGGTTGGGCTGGTGTCGGGCTATGCGGGGTCCTTTCTCCCTGTCGGTCCTACCTGGGCCGTTCTCGTGGTGAGGCCCAGTGTTTTCTTAGTTCAGTTCCCAATTGGCTTTTAGATGAA